AGGTGTTGATTGTAAGCTTTATTGCATTGTGGTCTGATAGAATGCATGGAATTATTTCAATCTTTTTTTATTTGTTGAGGTTTGTTTTGTGCCCCAGTATATGGTCTATTTTGGAGGAGGTTCCATGGGGTGCTGAGTAGAAAGTATGTCCTTTGGTGCTTGGGTGGAATACTTGGTATATGTGTGCTAAGTCCATTTGATATATGGTTTTGTTTAATTCAGATGTCTCTCTGTTAACTCTCTGCCCTGTTGACCTATCTAATGGAGACACTGGGGTATTGACATTGCCTACTATTAATGAGTTGGGATTAATCTGGGTCCTAAAGTCCTGTAGCATTGTTTTTATGAAGTTGGGTACACCAGAGTTTGGTGAATTTATGTTCATGATTGTAATACCTTCTTGATTCATTGTTCCTTTGATCAGAGTGAAGTGGCCCTGTTTGTCTCTTCTGATTAGTTTTAGTTTAAAGTCTATTTTGTCCGATATTAGGATTGCTACACCTGCTTTTTTCTTAGTGCCATTTGCTTGGTATATTTTTTTCCATCCTTGCCCTTTGAGATAGTGTCTGTCCTTAAAAGTGAGATGAGTTTCTTGCAGACAACAAAAAGTTGGGTTTTGGTTTTTAATCCATTTACATATTCTATGTCTTTTGACTGGGGAGTTCAGTCAGTTAATATCTAAAGTTATTAATGAAAGATGGGTATTGAATGCTGTAATTTTTATTTGTTTACATTCTTGATATAGCTATACTTTTCCACAGTTATACCTTCATTGGATTTCTTTCCGAAATCCCTGGGATTAGTCATTCCTTTCTTCAGCTCTTTGTATTGCTTCCAGAACTCTCTGAAGGGCTGGTTTTGTGGACATGAATTCCTTCAGCCTATTTATGTCATGGAAGATTTTTCTTTCCTCTTTGACTATAATAGACATTTTGGCTGCATATAGTAATCTGGGTTGGCATCTGTGGTCATTTAACACTGGGAATACTTTGTTCCAGGCTCTTCTGGCTTTCATAGTTTGCACTGAAAAGTCAGCTGTAATCCTAATGGGTTTTCCTTTATATGTGACTTGTTGTTTCTCTTTTGCAGCTTTCAGAATTGTCTCTTTGTTTTGTACATGTAGTGTTTTTACTATGATGTGTTGTGGAGAGTTTTTCTGTTCCTGTCTGGTGTTCTATATGCCTCTTGTATTTGTATGGGCATTTCTTTCTTTAATTTTGGGAAATTTTCTTCCACGATTCTGTTTAAGATCTGGTCCATGCCATTATCTTGGGATTCTCCTCCTTCCTGTATGCCTATGATTCGTAAGGGTGGTCTTTTTCTGGAGTCACACAATTCCTGCATAATCCATTCTTGTGATTTCTTAAATTTTTCATAATCTTTGCTTGTGTTGTCTAGTTCGTCCACTTTATCTTCCAGTCTTGATACTCTGTTTTCCATTTTGTTCATCCTGTTGGTGAGGCTTTCTCCTGTCGTTTCTAATTGGCTTACTGAGTGTTTCACTTCCTTATTCATTTCAGCCTGAGTATTCTTTAATATTTCTAACTCTTTTCTGAATTCATTCAGAAGTTTATCCCTGTCTTTCTTTGATTTCTTTTTTTTTGTGTGTTCTTCAAATTCACTGAATTCTTTTATCATGTTTATAATTGTTCTTTTGAGTTCCATGTCCTGCATTATCTCTAGGGGGTTCTCATTGTATTCCTCTAGAGGACTATTGGTATTTGGTGGGGATATGTTATTTTGGTTTTTCATGTTATTTTTTCTCTGTGATTTTGGCATGTGAATTTCTGTGGTAGTTTCTGGTTCTTGTGTGAGACTCAGGCCTTCAAGTTTAGGTCTGCTTCTTTTTGTGAACTTTATGTCTTTGTGGTTTACTTTTTGGGCATGAAATGCTGGTTTGTCTAAGCTTCTGGTTCTCTCTCTTGATTTTATATTGGAATGGCCAGGTTGATTTTGTCTTTAGGAGTTCCCACAGAGGGCCAATTCAGATGAGGGTCAGATTTTTCAGGCTTTCTCCTAATGTCTGGATCCCTCCAGGAATGATTTTGGCCTCTGGAATTTGGGGGTTGGACTGGCCTGGGAGCCTGGCCCAGAAAAGATGCTGGTCTAGGGCAGCTGGTGGCTGTTCCACCCAGAGATGCAAAGGCAGATGGGGCAGGAAGAGGCCCCAAGACAAGGAATGGGGCAGGGCCCAAACTCGGAGGAGAGAATGATAGGGGAGATGGGAGGGTGAATGGGCTGGGGGAGTCAAGGTGTGGAGGGCGCAATGGACTTACCCTGGAGAGAGGCCTGAGGGTGGGCGAGAGGCCTGCTGTGTTGGTGCATGTCCAGGGAAGCAGGTGGAGGTGAGTGCCGGGCCAGACCCAGAAGCAGGGCTTCTGGGGCCCAGAGAAAGCACTAAGTTGGTTTGGATGAAAGGGGTCAGGAAGTAGTATTGGTTTCCCAGGTGTCTGGGGCCCCAAGACCAGGAATGGGCAGGGCCCAAATTTGAAGGAGAGAAGGGAGGGGAGTTGGGAGGGTGAATGGGGCTGGGGGAGTCGAGGCGCGGAGGGCTCGATGGACTTACCTTGGGGAGAGACCTGTGGGTGGGAGAGAGGCCTCTAGAAAACTAATTTTAAGGCAAAACTTGTCTAAAATATTACTGACTAAATGTTTCCTGGAAATGAAACTTGAGATTGACCCTTGGAGGTAGTGAGTGATCACTTTAAACCCTGACTTTGAAACTTGTAGAAATTCCCCTGAAAACAACATTTCTCTGAGGCACTTGCTCCTTTTGGAAGTTGATCTCAGCCTCGGCCTTTTTTTCCCTCTTTCCTTTCTTCACATTTCCTCTGTTCCTCTTTCTCTCTAATGACTTCTAATTATCTTTCTTTTATATATTTTATTATTTTTATTTTATGTGCATGAGTGTATTGCCTGCATGTATGTGAGTGCACCCATGCTGTGCAATGCTGCAGAAGTCAGAAGAGGGCGTCAGATTCCCCTGGAACTGGAGTTAAGGATGGCTTGTAGCCACTACGTGGGTGCTGGGAATTGAACCTGGGTCCTCTGCAAGAGCAGTCAGTGCTTTTATCCACTGAGCCATCTCTTCAACCCCTAATTATCTTTCTTACTTAATGAAACAAGGAACTACCCTTAAGACTAAACAAGTTATGTTTTCCAGAATAACCCTGTTCAAGAAGGATGAGCTTTGCTCTCTACAGTAATAACACTACTGTTCACTGCTTGGGCCATTGTGGGAATACTTCTTATGTGGATATTTGAAGAGATAGGCTGGGAATAGCCATCATTTATACACATAAATTATTTTTAAAAGCATATGCAATCAAAAAAGTATAGTTGAAGATGCTCTTTAATTCTTTCAGGAGAGAGAGTGCTGCTGTTTGGAAAGTGGTATTCGGCATCAACAACTTGGATCATCCATCTGTGTTCATGCAGATGCGTTTCGTGAAGACCATCATGCTACATCCCCGCTACAGTCGAGCAGTGGTGGACTATGACATCAGTATAGTGGAGCTGAGTGAAGACATCAATGAGACAAGCTATGTCAGACCAGTTTGCTTGCCCAGTCATGAGGAGTTTCTAGAACCAGACACCTACTGCTATATCACAGGCTGGGGCCACATGGGCAACAAAAGTAAGCCAGGGTCATCAGCACTCCTTGTCCCTCCAGCTTTTTTTTTTTTTTTTGGTCTTTTTGAGACAGGGTCTCCCTGTAGCCCCAGCTGTCCTGGAACTCACTTTGTAGACCAGGCTGGCCTTGAACTCACAGAGATCTGCCTGCCTCTGCCTCCTGAGTGCTGGGATCAAAGGCAAGGGCCACCATGCCCGGCCTATCCCTCCAGTTTTAAACTGATGAGCAGCGGGTTTCCTCCTAGCCTTTGACCGTCACTTTCCATTTTCATTTGCAAAACTGTAGGCTCACATAATAAATACTTGGATTGTGTCATGCTCTCCTAAGCCAATTGTAAACATGAACAATCCATCATAACATCTGAGGTGAAAACTCAAACATCCTTCTCCACAGCTGAGACTCTCCAGGGAGCCATGACCAATGTTGTGTTTTTTTCATGCAAGGTGAGACGTGCCAGCCACCCCTGCTCCAAATAGCAATGGTTTGGGCTAAGCTGGGCCTGGTGGCACACACCTTTAATCCCAGCACTCTGGAGGCAGAGGCAGGCAGATCTCTGTGAGTTCAAGGCCAGCCTGGTCTACATAATGAGTTCCAAGCCAGTTGGGGCTACAGAGAGACCCTGTCTCAAAAAGACTAAAAAACAAACAAATAAAAGCAATGGTTTGGACTATATCTAGGCAGAATCACTCAGAGCCTGTATGGAATAGTTAGATGATTCCATTTCTGCAGTCAGGCTGCCTGGTCACACTTTCAATTCTGTGATTGATTTGTTCTTATCTACATATGCAACACAACCTGTATTTTCTTCTACAAAGTGATTTTTCAGACCCTCTACTAACCTTAGGAATTACCAACTTCCCCTTAAAATTTAGTCAGATATGCTTCGAGCTAAGTTTGTTTTCTATATGATCAAAAATGATGGAAGTGAAGCATTTATAGACAATGCTTTTTTTTTCCTTTTTCATTTCCAGAGCTGTTATTTTCCTATAGCATGTGACAAGAAAAGAAAACCACAAGCCACATTGTCATTTAAGCAGTCTGCCTCTGTTTCCTCACTGGGAAATAAGGAATTTCATTAGATGACTGCTGTGAACAGTTCTAAGTAGAAAATTCCTTCCAAACAAGTCTTGCCTTTGAAATGGCATTTCTCTAGATATGAAATTGTTCTTACAATACTGTTCATTTCATATTTTGCTGGCCATACTTTAAAGTCATTTTTATGTTCTTACCTACTTTTATTTCATTTTCCATTTTGAATATAGTGCCTTTTAAGCTGCAGGAGGGGGAGGTCCGTGTTATTTCTCTGGAACAGTGCCAGTCATACTTTGACATGAAGACCATCACCACCCGGATGATCTGTGCAGGCTACGAGTCTGGCACTGTCGACTCGTGCATGGTAAGCTGCTTTCTGAATATGCAAGACATCAGGATCAGCAATGACCTTGGTGGGACCACATAATTCATCATGAGTTACGTGTGGCCCTTTGGGAGCATCCTTTACTGCCGGAACAGTAGTATCAGTCCATCTCATTTGATCATTTTGGTGGCTAAGCTAAGCCTAATTATGAGGGGCAAGTGGTAATCATAGCTCCAAGCCTTCTGTCTCAAGGAGGCTAGAGGAGTACCAGAGGACACTGTTGAGTGATTTGTGTGCTGGCTATCAACATACATCAGCCCCAGTGCCCAGGATATGTGATGGAACTACTTCTGTCTCCAGAGTGATCATCCTGGCATTGCCTGGGCCATCATGGTCCTCATTTGATTTCCAACATGTCCTCAATGTCACTGCCTTCAACCTTAGACAGGATTTCTGACCATTAGCAGTCTGCAGAGCATGCATCCTAGCAGTATAGAGAAGTATTTTACTTTCATTTAAATACTCCCTGTTGTACTGAACTGTCTCCAGGGAAGGATGAAAATGTGCAAGTGCAAAGTCAGGCTGGTAAGAGGAGTGGGAGGTGACTGGTTCTCTATGCAGCTTATCATTAGTTTGATTTTAGAATTAAGCAGAGATAAACCATGCTCTTGTCTTATACAGCTCAATCAAAAACCCAGTTTTGCAGTAGACATGGTGGTGCACACCTGTCACCGCAGCACTTGGGATGCTGAGGTAGGAGAACTACCATGAGTTTGAGACCAGCTTAGGCTGCCTAGCAAGTACAAGACTAGTCAGACTTACATAGCAAGATCCTGTCTCGAAAAGAAACTATCTCAAGTTTGCTGAGAAGCACACTGCCTGGAGCAGGTATTCTTGGACAAAGTGCCCAGGTCAAAGCAGATGTGCTAGAAAACAAGATGGTCAACCTGTGCCTCAGTGTTTTTACTTCCACACAGACAGAATCATAGTCAATTTTTCTGCTTAGGTAGGTTTTAAAGATTAAATGAGATAATCCATGGAAAGTGCTTAGCAGAGCTTTGAGAAACATCTCTATGGCTATCTGGCACTATCAAGCAGGCGGACCAGAGAAATGCTTCCAAGTTCCTGTCTTGCTCCTGTCAGTGACTATGTTCTTCTTGGCCTTTATGGCACACACTGCTCTCTTTCAAGGGAGTGCGAAATATCTCTCTCTTATGACTTCCATTTTCCCAGATAGAGCAAATGCTAATATCCACAGTGCTCTGATATTTTGTTATTTACCTATGTTTGGGGAAAAGAACTGAATAAAACTTGACTAAAATATCTACGTTTAATTAGCAAGGATAAAAATCTCTATGTATCTAAAATAAAATACAGGGTACAAATTGAAATGACTCACTGTAAATAATTCTTTAGTGTGATTTTTCTTTTCAAATCTGCCAGATGAAAACGATCATAAGAGTTAAGAAGTTCAGTTAAGCTCCGAAGTGTATTATATTTAACACATTCATTCAGATTGCAAAGATACTGAAAATAAAGAACTAGGTTAGAACTTGAAAAAATTTTATTGAATTTTTGTGATTTTCATGCAATATATTTTGATGGTATTTAGATCCCCTCCCCTATCTGCACCTCCTCTTACTGTCTTCCGCCCGATATAATGTGCTCTGTTATGTATATAATAGGGCATATAGAGGTAAATTGTGTCCCCAAAATCTTTTAGTGTGGGCCATCCACCAGAACCACGTTAACCTACTAACCACGAGTCACATCCTTAAAAGAGACCTACTGATAATAGGAGAAATATTTGAATCTTCCATTTTGGGTGCTTTTTGTTGTTGCATGATAAATTAAGTTTGAAGAATAAAATTATGAGGCAACCCATTTTGATTGCCTCATACACAGCTTTACAAAAGTTAGGACATATTTTGTTAGGTGCAGGAAATAATTTAAAAAAGTTTTTTGACTTCATGTAAAGAAAGAACAAAATACTCTTCCCAAACAACCTCAATCTTTTTAAAGCTCAGAATCCATGATGTTCATTTGAAAGTTCTGCTTCTATAGTGGAAAGCTGACACCCTCCCAGGATGACAATGGAAAACTTTTTTGAAATGTTCCAAGTTAGTTAGTCTAGGTTTGGCATTATTGGACCCCTCAGGGTTATGGGACGCCACTAGAGCTCTGTAATCCCATGACTAACATCTGCTGCTTTTCACTACAGGGTGACAGTGGTGGGCCTCTGGTTTGTGAGAGACCTGGAGGACAGTGGACACTGTTTGGTTTAACGTCATGGGGTTCCGTCTGCTTTTCCAAAGTCCTAGGGCCTGGAGTGTACAGCAATGTATCATACTTTGTTGAATGGATTGAAAGACAAATATATATCCAGACATTTCTCCAAAAGCAACTCCAAGGATGATAAGAGACTTGCCAGCAACCTTCACCAAGGATGGCTCTCCTGATCATGAAGGAGCGTCCTGCGAGAGCTGTGCAGAGCTTCTTCTCATGGACCAGAGGCTCAACATGCACTGCAACATTTGCTTGTATTAGACCAAGTTTACTCAGACTATTTTTTTCAATTTTATTTCTCCCTAATTTGATGAAAGACTTTTAAAAAAGCACAGAAAAGTAGGGTTTTTTTCTTTTTCTTTAACTAGGCTAACCTTGACTATAGTACAGAATGATCAACTCTGTAGAGGAAAAATTTAAGAACCATTGGTAACACGTTATAGAAAATTCCCTTTGATTCTCTCATGAAGAGGACATTGAGATCCACGCTGACTGATCTGCAGTTTCTGCTCAAGCACCATGGCTTAGAGAGCACATTTCAATATTAACCTTGGAGAATGACTTTTAATATATAGAGAGCCAAGATTATGTACGTGCTTATGTTATTTACTATTCCTCCTGTAATTCGGAAAGATTATGAAAGTCAGAGTAAAGACCAATAGCATTGATCTAGACAGCTGAAATTGCAAGACACATGGAAGGCAAAATCTCTAGACATCAGTACTAACACTAGGCAGTATAAGTCTATCCATCCTGCATTCTAATCAAGCTTGTAATTTTCTAGAAGAGTCTCTGTATGATTTTCCCCCTCACTGGGGCCTTACAACTGTATCCCAGTTGGATGACTGAGATTTCAGCAACTAGGCTAATCCTCATAGAACTATTTTGACCTTATCTGAAAATAAAGTTCAGATTAACCTTTTCCAAAGGAGACCCTGTTCTATATTGGACACATGCAATTTAAAAAAAGAAAAATAAAATCACATGGTATCCTATCCCTCAATTATATATGAAAATTGATCTTCATGTGTTCACCCATACCAATAAAGACACAGAAATATATTTCTAAATACAGTAAAACACTAGATGTTGTAAAATATTTTGAAATTTTCACCTAATAACGTCTAACATCTGGTGGTGCCACTGCGCCTCACAGATCAGTAAAACATTTTAAAGATGCTTTTAAGCACCAGGCCACTTTACACAAATCAATTTCTGAAGCAATTAGTGGTTAAAAGTATTTTTCTCCACTAAAAAGCTTCAAAACGCA